ATGTAGAGGAGACATGAAGAAGAGGGGACACATGTTGATGTAGAAGAGACATGAAGAAGAGGGGACACATGTTGATGTAGAAGAGACATGGAGAAGAGGGGACACATGTTGATGTAGAAGAGACATGAAGAAGAAGGGACACATGTTGATGTAGAAGAGACATGAAGAAGAATGGACACATGTTGATGTAGAAGAGACATGAAGAAGAGGGGACACATGTTGATGTAGAAGAGACATGAAGAAGAGGGGACACATGTTGATGTAGAAAGAGACATGAAGAAGAGGGGACACATGTTGATGTAGAAGAGACATGAAGAAGAGGGGACACATGTTGATGTAGAAGAGACATGGAGAAGAGGGGACACATGTTGATGCAGAAGAGGGGACACATGTTGATGTAGAAGAGACATGAAGAAGAGGGGACACATGTTGATGTAGAAGAGACATGAAGAAGAGGGGACACATGTTGATGTAGAAGAGACATGAAGAAGAGGGGACACATGTATGAAGAAGAGGGGACACATGGTGATGTAGAAGAGACATGAAGAAGAGGGGACACATGTTGATGTAGAAGAGACATGAAGAAGAGGGGACACATGTTGATGTAGAAGAGACATGAAGAAGAGGGGACACATGTGATGTAGAAGAAGAGGGGACACATGTTGATGTAGAAGAGACATGAAGAAAAGGGGACACATGTTGATGTTGAAGAGACATGAAGAAGAGGGGACACATGAAAAAGTGGATTTTGCATAATAGGTGACCTTTAATGAAAAAAGAGTATTCCTTGTTCGTCGTGTATTGAAAGGGGTTTTGTATTTATTTTGTGTTCATTCTTCCATACGTTAATATGGAACTTTAAATACATGAATTTGTGAATAAAGAGTATACCCAAAACAATTTCATAATTTATCAGAAAGTCCTACATCACATTTAGAAGGGAGCCAGCCCTGGAACACAATTCATTCAGTTAGTATGCTTCTAGAGACAGCCACTACGGAACAGCGTCACAGGATCAGACCCTGACAGCCTGCAGCGACCTGTGACCTTTAACATCACAACCCTTAACATGTCTTTATTGTGTCCTCTCCCTCCCACATCTGTCCGTCCCTGTGAGTTCTGCTGGCCCTCGCTGTGTCCCGTTGTGGTAGAAAGTACAGTAGGTACAGTGTTCGTATTTTACCACCCTTCTTTGCATTCCTTGTCCTGTCTGTAAGGAAAGCATGCTAATGTCTCCTGTCCTGCATATCCTACCTGAGGATTCATTCTACCCGTCTGGTTTTGTTTGGGTTGTTTACCCAACTGCTTGTCAAATGTGCTTTTCAAAGAGATTCTCTGTGATTTTCTTATTGGCCTTTACTTTACTTTTAAATCTGGTGGAAATATTTAAAATAGGCTTTTTTTTAGCCCTACCTCAGAGCAGCATGAGCTGAATAAAAAGGTTGTAATGTTGTCCCAAAGTTTAATAAACAGTAAAACATTGCAACATGTCAGAGAAATAAATAAAGCTAACAGCAGCTAGACGTCAGGGTAGCATTTTATAAATCCCACCGTACTGTAGGCTATACCAGGCTAAATATTTTCACTTTGGTCTATTTATGTAATATAAAGTATAACTTATCTATAACAGAGCCAAGATCTCTGTATGACTTTAGTAAACTTCTGAATTGAATTAAAAATAAGTGTAAACAACAGTGCAGTACGTCCAGCTAGCTAGTTAGCGTCACTAATGTATCTGTATTATTTAACGAAAATGTACGTTTTAATGCCCCTTGGGTTTGACGTGTGTGACGTTAGTTAATTTAAAGTAAGTTAAAACCCAATACTCACATTTATTAGTGATTCCTCCGCTTGCAGCTGCTTTTAAATCCACTCTGCTGGGGAGACCGGACCGCCATTTCATTTGAAAAAAACTCACTCTTCCCCAGCGCGCATTGCAACCTGGGATATGGTAGACCAAGAAGGATACATTAGATGTATCCTTCAAATCCGGGAAAAGAAGGCTGCATTCGTGGGCTGCATTCGGAGGGGTCTCGTCTTTTTTTTATTGGGACAGCCTTCTTTCGGTTTACAAATGCAGCCTCCGAAGGGTGCAGCCCCTGAATTGAGACACGGCCAATGTAATCACACTACAAACCCTAGAATGTTTTGAAACTCTTGATTGATCTTACCTGCTGGCTGATGTTCAAGCTAATAGCTGACATCTGGGTGTCAGACAGGTTGGAAACGCACCCCATATGTAGGCAGTAAAGTGTAAAATTATTATTATATAGTCAACATAATTTACACAGCCTAATATTAGAAATCACAAATGCCTAAATATGCTTTTTATCTGTGGTCTACAGAATCCATTCTCAGACCCTCAAACTATCCGCTGCAAACGTCTATCACAGCTTTAAAAGCACTTCCTTATTTTACAGTAGTTCAGTGCTCACTATGGCTGCACTAATTGGAAGAAATAACTAATTGAGATCATTTTGACTGATATTGTGGTTACAATACAATTCAAGATATTGGAGGTATTGATCTTTTTTGCCACTTTATGGTTATTATGATTGAAACATATATAAAACTGAGCCGTTTGAGTGTTTTTAAGAGGATCACTATGTTTTGTTTGATACTTTTATTGTATTTAAAGACATTTTAAATATTATGCTTCCGGTGACTTAAATATTGCAATTTTAATTAATTGTGCAGCTGTAGTGCTCACATTATTCCTTATGCAGTTAACGATTAGGTTGTACTCACTAGGATGTTCACAAATAAAGTGCTTGATCGGTAATGCTTCTTCTATGCATGAGGTCGTGAAGTTGGTGCTGATGGGGACGCTGAGTATGATGAGGAGCCTGATGGTGTGCCCACTAACTCACCTTTCCTTTGTTTGTCTCCCCCCGCAGGTGAGGTGTGAGAGGGAGGACGGTGAGGAAGGGGAGCTAAAGGATCCCGTTGCGTTTTGCATACAGGCGGGGCACGCTGGGACCAGGACCTACTACTTCAGCGCAGACAGACATGAGGACCGGGAGCAGTGGATCAGAGCCATGAGCCAGGCTGCAGCGGTCCCCAGTGAGCCGTCACAGAGGTGCTGCTCTCACACACACACACACCGCATGAAAAAAGTGTTACTTTTGAGCCAGCGCTCCACTAATGGTAGTATGTGCTATTTACATCTTAAAGGGGACCTATCATGCAAAATGCACTTTGTGATGTCTTTTATACATAAATATGCGTCGGGGAACTCACGCAACGTCAGAAAATAAAGCCCTCTCTCTTTTCCTCCGTACCCAAATCTTTTTAAAATGGGTAACAACGAGTGGATACAGATTTCCGTCCGCTGTGACGTGTCCGTCCGCTGTGATGTCGGCGGACTTACAGAAAGTTGCTATCAGAAACAATGCCTGACGTGTTTTGGACGTAATCTGGTCTTTGTTTACACATTAAACATTAGTGGCGTTTTATCACAACCAAATTTAAGTTTATCTCTGATCAGGCATTAGCCCCGCCTCCTCTTCTTTTTTTTCCTTCAAGCTAAGGACCCAAGATCTGCAAGCTAAGGACCCAAGATCTGCAAAAGAGGGGTTTGAGCATATCTGTTTGGTACTTTGAAAAAAATACTTCACAGACATGTTTTATATTTTGTAGGTATGGCCCTACAATATATTTTTCAAATATAGCATGATAGGTCCACTTCAAAGGAATGAAGCAGTATTACTCTGAGGTTGTTGCTGCCCTCTGGTGGTGCTGCCAGAGAGACTATAATCAACTGCAATATATGGCAATAAGACAGTTGTTGGTATTTACAGCTTCAATTCTTCCATACATCATACTTATTCCTTGAATATGGTCTACATATTTCAGATTTCATAATAATATAATACAGAAATTGTTACTGATCAGATACTTGACCTGCTGTTACATTTTCTGATTTCAAATGGCCACTCTGACCGTTTTGAAACAAGCAAAAACAGTCAGTCAATCTATTCTCATGCTTTCTCTTTTCTTCACATTCACAGAATAAACCCCACAGTGGATCCAAACCACACTATGGTGACCAAGGCACCAAACACACACACACACAATGATACTGTCAGTGACCCCCCCCCACACCCTAAGGCCAACGGGGTCAACAGCCTTGAGACACCCCCACCCTCCACCCCCTGCTCCGTTCAGGAGGGAAAAAATAATAACGGAAGACAAGGAGAAGGTGACGATGGAGGGGGGAGAACAGGTCCGGACCCCACCTCTCATCCAAGGCCGCATCCAAATGGGTGGGGCAACAACGGCCCTCGGAACAGCAAACCCCCTCTATCCAGGAGTCCCATTGGACATCATGCCCCCCAGGGCCACCCGGAGGGGGGGGGATGCCCCCCGCAGGACAGCAGGGAGCAGCAGGAGAACGTTGTGCTGAGGAGGGGCTTCGTGCCCAGGACGGCTCCAGAGAGAGTGGCTCAGAGGAAGAGCTCCATGGCCCAGCTGCAGCACTGGGTCAACCAGCGAAGAGGCATGGCCTCCGAGGAGGACCTTAACAGGTAGACCAGACCGCCCCCCACCCNGTGTGCCTTGGCAGTCTCAGAGAAAAATACTGTGCAATTTTCCAGACTCACATTGGTTTCGCATACAGCATCTCTGTAAAGTATGTGTATTCAGCAGTATTCACTTTCTCCACTAAACGGCTCGCTGCAGCTCCCCTCCCCCCCCCTCCGCGATTTCCTTGTTTAGCGATACACAGCCAAACAAAGCCAAACTCAACCTGAACACACACAAAGTCACAGCCGAAATAAAAACAATAAGTGTGGCTTGATATTGAGTAAGAAAAAGGTTTATAGGTTGATAAACGCTGTGAGAATGGGTCTGCAGAGAGAATTTTGCGCGATCCCAACTGTCTGTTATCAGCCTGCAGCAGGGAGCAGAAATCAGCAGGGCTGCCTGTACGTGCTTACGAAAGCACGTACCCGGAAGATCATGATGACGTTTCACCAACGAGGCGTTTTGGGGAGGTATTTTCTGTTTAAGAGTTTTACTCGCTACAGGGTGTACTTTGAGGGTTTTGACTCTGCACACCGTTTACATGCAGAAAAACCTTCATAACACACAAGGGGACGGGTAATAACCGGAAAAGCATGACATGTCACCTTTAAGTAAATTACAAAAGTATTGGCATCTAAATATACTTAAAGTACCAAAAGTAAAAGTACTCATTATGCAGATATATTTATGCGAATAGATTGGCTCATTTCACAATCATATAATGTCTACATATTTGTCTCAAGTAAAGTGCCACAAAATTGTACTTAGGTACAGTACTTGAGTAAATGTACTTACTTTACACCTCTGGCCTTGCACCTACCTTCAGGGTTGACAGACTTTCAAAGCCCTTATTCGTTAGAACACCTCTGGTTTTAGCCTCTGGTAATCACATTTTTTTAATTTTTTTAATTTTTATATTTTCTCAAGACAGGAAAATACATGATTTGGACTTATTGAAGATGTTATAGTGGCACAATATTTCCACACAAAGTGACTGCAGGTTCAATCGCAGGCACAGTTTATAACCTGCAACTTTAATACACAAGGGGACTATCAATCCAGCTGGAGCTGTTGGACTGGAGCCTTTTTGCTACTTAAAGATCATGAGCAGATCTTTTCATAAAACCTACTGCTATGATGAAACTCACTTAACGGTTAATACAAGTTATGGTAGAGTTAGGGTGATGTGTAATGAAACTCAGGGTACAGAACACTAGTCTCATCCGGAGGCTAAACATTTCTTAAACCTTCCCGTCCTTCCTTCCAGCCCATCTCATTACTACGCAGTAAACCAGGGGCTTTTGGCGGACTTCTATGGCTACCCTGGTGGCCCCCAGTATATGGAGGAGTGCCCTCTTTACCCGCCAGGGGTCCGACCAGACAGTATCTGCTCTGTTTCTGCTATGGGGGGATACGACCCGCGCTGGACCGTGGAGGAGAAGCGGCACTCACTGAGGGACCTACCCCATCAGCTGTATGGAGCCCCAATGCAGCGGGACCAATGGGGGCCGGCCTACTTTGGTGGAATGGAAAAATCCATGAGACGTCTGTCTGTACAGCCCCGCTCCAGGTCTGTCCCCAGGTCCCCGTCCTCGTCTTGTGGGGGGCCCTACTCCCCGATGCAGCACAGTTTTGCCTCGCCTGGCCGCTCGCCCTCCGCTCACTTCAACCGGCTCCCGGCCCGGCTGAGGGACGACGTGATCTACGCTGACCCCTCGGTCTACAGCCTGCGGAGGTCTCTGAGCTCCCCAAAGGTAAAGCAGTGATCGCTGCAGAAGCATACAGTGGATGTAGAAGTAACTGCCACCTCACAACTAGACAATTTCTTTTCACAGGCCACAACTCACTTATATTGGTTTTAGTTAAATCCACGACTCTTGCAATATCTTAATTTCATGGTAACAAGCTTTTATTACGTTTTCCTAGTACAATAAATTAAGGTTTTGAGTTTAGGAAAGCTAATAAATTAAAACGTTCATTGAGGGAAAGACATAAGGCTCTTCAGCAGAATAAAAAGATTGTCACTGAGGCTGAAAGAGAGAATAACAGATGAATGTTTAGTTTTCATCTTCCTCCACCCTAACAACTTTCATCCCTTCCTTCTTTCCTTATTACCTTCCCTCCCTCCTTCAGTATGACTACCCTGGTGAAAGGAGGTTCTTAAGCCTAGGATTACACCACTACAACTACCCTGTATCCCCTTCCATCCACAATAAAATGGTACGTTCTGCTAATATGCTGTACTAATAACTCACACACACAGTTCTGGTGCCAGGCACTGACTAGAGTAGTTATGGCAGTTGAATCAACAGTACAAAACTTTTAATAGGGGGAATGGGGGGGGTGGGGGGGGTATTGGTGTCAGGCCAGGGTGAGCATGATCAGCAGTCTCTAAGGACTAGTAGGTTATATTAGCTGGCTCTCTATATCTGTATTGCACCTGTCAGATGTTCAGCTGTGTTAGGGTTTGGCTTAGGGATGTGGACTGGAGTGTATTCTAATGCATGTTTGCACTTCTGGTTAGATGCTAACTACATTTCGTTGTCTTAGTACCTGTACTCTGTGCAATGACAATAAAGTTGACTCTAATCTAATCTAACACACTCTAAACCTGTAGACACACGTGTATGTTGCTCTACATCTGTCTGTCTGTCCTTCCCCCGACCTGTGTTTCTTCTTCTCCTCTGCTGCTGTCCTGTCTCTAATATGGGGCTGGGGATGCTGTTATGCGCAAATTAGACCCTCCAGAAAAACTTGATTCTGCATTTGCAGAATTTACCGCATAATCAGCAAAATGGCGCAGATTTTTAAAAGGCCGCATATTTTTAAAAGCCCGCATATTTATCAAAAGTCCGCATAATCCCAGGATTTTTCCACACAAAGTTGAGAAAAAAAAAGTTAACTCATCTTGACGTGAGGTAGTGATCATGATGACGCGACGTCATCAGCTCGCGCATCACAGAAGGTAAACAACACCGTAGAGTGAACGTGTGGAACTCACAAGAGAGAGAAAAAGCCAAGATGAAAAAATCTGATCCATCTCATTTACCGACGAACATTTCTGCTAAAGACCGGGCAAAGCAGTACCCCGATGTCTTTGACGAAAGTGGGGGGAAACTATTCTGCACCCCGTGCCACTGTGTGTTGGAGCTTAAGTCTTAGAGAAAATCGACGGTGACGACCCACTTTGATTCATTCAAACATTCGAAAATGCTTTCTGCTGCTGCGGACAAGAAAGCCAAACAACTCACTTTCACCGAGGCATCAACCTCCAAAACCCTTTCGAGGGCTACAAGAAACGAAGTGAGTAGCCTACAAGATTGAAGCTGGTCAGATAACGAACGACTAAATGAAAACAGAATGAGGCGGTGAAGTGTGTGTGTGTGTGTGTGTGTGTGTGTGTGTGTGTGTGTGTGTGTGTGTGTGTGTGTGTGTGTGTGTGTGTGTGTGTGTGTGTGTGTGTGTGTGTGTGTGTGAGAGAGAGAGAGAGAGTGATTAAAGTAGCCCAATTGCTTTTACAATACATAAACATTGAATGTGTTTAATTGAATAAGAAAGGGGTTTAACGTTGTGTGTGTGAGAGAATAAATAAGACCGCCCCATATTTAAACAAAAATCTATTCTTTTTCGCAACTTTCCGCATATTTTGCAACTTCCCGCAATTTCACCGCATATCACATAAAACCCCCGCATGTTTAATCGCATAATCAAGGATTTCAGCCCCCATAATCAAGGAATTTAGCCCGCATAATCAAGGATTTTTGCCCGCGTTTTTCTGGAGGGTCTAGTATTACCAACCTCGCAATGGAAAACACAGAAAAATATCCAAACAGCAATGAGGGAATCAGAAATAACACACAACCAAGAAATGAGTTTGTGCGGTGTGAGTGTTAAAGTCACATCCAAGCAAAGGACAACATACAGTAGCACCAAGTCAACGCAGCATTACAACAACAAGGCAAACATTTCGAATGTCAGTCAAAGACAAACCAAACAACGTAGCAAGTTAAATACAGTTAAAAGTTCAACACACCCAGCAAAAGAATCTTCCCTCAATCCAGCGTCGGACAAACCATATGATACTCCATATTTACTGCAGCTCACACAAAAAACAATATAGCAAGATCAAAAAGAGCGCATCTGTGATCACAACTCAAATGTACAACAGTAAC